CACTTGACCATGTAGTAAAATAAATAAGCCACATGTTTTCATTAAATATAGCTTCTTTTTTCTCATTTACAACACTTCAACATATTTTCTCTCATCCTCTCTTTTTTGGCATGAAACTTTTAAAAGTAAATTGACACAGACATGGAAGCAATAAGAACCAAGGAACAGATACACACAAGCATCATCCAAATGTAATAACAGATTTATCCACTCCCAAGTCCTCCAGAAACAATCACTAATCATATACGGCCAAAGCTCACCCATCCAAATATCAAAGCAACACCCGGTGCCCAATTTTGTAAGCAAATTTCATCAATCAATTCAATCAATAAAGCACCTTGTATAATGGAGTAGAGTGGCGGAAATTTTCAACAAAAAAAAAAGAGATTAATGTAATTAATCAAGAACGATCACATCTCTCTCTCCTCCTCTCTCTCTCTAGAGTATGAAAATGAACCAAGCTTCCGGCCACCTTCTGCAGGCTCCTCAACACTTCAGCTCCTGTCTCTCTCGTCATCCAGTGAAGACCACAACAGCTCCACTCATCCTCTTCTTTAATATTACGAAGTATGCCCGATAGTTAAAAATCAATGTTGATTTCTCCATCTTGTTATTTTTTCCCATTAAGTTACAAGTTGTGTGTATAAAACTACAATAATTTTCATGTGTAAGGGAAATATAAATATAAAAAAAATTCGAGCTACAAGAAGTACTTTCTTGGTAACAATATATTTTTTCTCAATAAGAAGAAAACAATTCAATAAGTGGTGTTAAAACAAAGATTGTCGAAAAAGAGATAAGTTCGAAAGATTATTAAAGCCAATAAATAACTTTCTAATGAATATCCCAACAAACAAATAATCACAATTCAACAGCTAAAAGAAGTAAGCAGTGGTATGTAAAAAAATAGAAATAAAAAAAAAACATAAATTGTGCCGCAAACACTTGCATAAAAGCGAAATAGCATAACACTTACAGAAAAGAATCGCCGGTGAGTTCCAAGAGCGCAACGGGACGGCAGTATGAAAAAGAATTGCAAGAATTAATCTTCACCGGCAGCGGGAGACTTCAATCAGAAAGCGACAACAACGATTGAGGTTCAGCGAAAGAGAACTGGAACAACGGAAGATGTTGAAGAAGCGTTCTACCGGAGGAAGAGGGCGAATGGCACATTGGCGGTGGGCGGAGAGAACCTGCGACGGTAAATTGCAGAAGGAAATGAGATTGACGGCGGAGAAGGAAGCGTGGTGCAGAACATGAGGGTTTTCCGCCGGCGAGATCTCAATCGAATTTGATGAAGATGAAGAAAGGGCTTTGGAGATAGGGTTAAATTGTTTTAAATAAAGGTTTTTTAAAATATTTAAATAAAGTTTCTCTGTTAAAGAAAAAGCTTGGATGTAATATTGGAAAGATTATTTTGCTTCTTATTACTCTATAATTCTTTTCAAACAATCAAAATGGGACAAAATTCCGTCTTTTTCTTTCTTTTTACTTTTTCAAGTGTATATAAATTTCCGTTTAATAATATTTAGTTTGCAAATCTTTTCGTGTAATAAGTGTAGCATTGAATTACTGGAGTTTTCTTTTAACTGAAAAAAATATATATATATAATTTCTTTCTTTTTTTTTTTAACATATATTATTTCCTTCACAATTTTTTTAAATATCGTAGTTTTAGTTCTGGCCCTATGAGGAGCGAGGTCGTGTCTAATAAATTAATTATATTTAGCATAAATAAATATTATTATTATTATTATTATTATTATTATTATTATATAAAAGGTTAAAATACTAGTTTGATCCCTCTCCTTTTCAGTCTTGGTTCATTTTGGTCCCTCTATTTTGAAAGTGTTCATTTTAGTCTCTATAATTTAAACTTTGGTTTAGTTTAATCCTTGTATTTTGAAAATGTTCATTTTAGTCTCTATACTTTTTAAAAGTGATCATTTTAGTCCCTCTTTATAAAATTTTAACACATAATTTTACGTATAACAACAACTCTTTAGTATAAAGTAATATTTACCTTTGAAGAAATATATTGATTTTAGTGTTGTGTTGAAATAAGAATAAAATTAAGGGACTAAAATGGTCACTTCTTAAAAGTAGAGGGGCCAAAATATACATTTTGAAAGATTAAAATGAACAAAAGTTTAAAGTACAGGGACCAAAACAAACATTTTCAAAGTATGGGGACCAAAATGAACCAATACTGAACATACAGGGACCAAACTAGTATTTTAACCTATATAAAACGAGGGGGTGAGCTCATACAATTTCCATCCATGTTTTCACGTAAATAATATTTTATTTTCATAGATTTCAACTTTATAATCAATATCGAATTAGAGAATGAGTAGATATCAATTATCGGTAAGGTATGCTTTTTGGCTCATGCTTAATTTTCTATTTTGATTTATTTGTAATTTTTTTTTTCTAGTCTATTGCTTTTACAATAATTTTTCTTAAATCATGCTAAATTTTGTTGCTATCTCCAACTCATGGGCCTTTATACACCCAAACCTGTATTGGACCAAAAGTTGTTTCTTAACCTAGTGGGCCAAGAAACCCACTGGACCGTACGAGTATGCCTTTTAGTTGTGGTCAACAATTGATTGTTTTTTTCTTTTTTTTTTGGTGCGAGTACCTACAAATCGAGATAAATTTGGAATATTATCAAGTAAATCTGTAACAAACGACCTTTTATTTATTATTCTTTTTTTTTTGGGATATTATTGTTTAAAAATATGACCTATTTTGCGTTAATTTGAAATTTGTAGTATGATTTTAATTAGTTTTTCACACCTATATTAGTTTAGCACTAATTCGCATATGACATATTCAATGTTTGGGGGAAGAAGTGTTGCGGACATGTGGAGGATGCTCAATGGGGCTTAGAAATAAAAGGATATTTCAGGTTCACCTCGAACCTGCCAATGAGACTACATTTGTCTATATGCAAGGCTAAGTGTAAAAGGTCGGGGTTCGATCAGCTCAAATTCGACAGGTTCGACATGACAAAAAACAGAGATAACCGTCGGTCGTGAGTGCTGTCGGACCCACCACCTATGAATAGAGGGTCTCATTTCACGCTCGGGTATCGAATCTCACCTCGAACTTAATATGGAGTCCGACCTATACTGACTTGAGCGTGGTAGAGTTCGCCCTCTTATGCAGGTTCACTCCAAAGGTTCAGGTTGAGTCAGAGACCGGGTTCGAGCTAGATTCGTGAATTAGGTTGTGCAATTCTTTGCATAAACATTCGATACTGTAGTTTTAAATCACATGTTAGTCACCAATCGACTTAATAAGGTTGTTTTTTTTTTGTTGATTGGTTAAAATAATTTAAGTTATTAAAATAATAAACTGATTAATTAAAAATGACATGAAATTTAATCGACGATGGGTTACCAGTAGGCATTACTGTTTAATAATTAAAAATTATTCAACTCCTACTATTTTATTCGAGACACATGAAATTGAACAATACAATCCTAGACGAGAAGGAAAAATCGATCAATACAAAGTAATAAAAAAACATTAAAAACTCATTTGAGAAGTAAAAGTTGATAGATAAAAAAATGCTAACAGAGGGACTGAAAACATGCGAGAGAAGGAATTGAAGAGAAGTAAAAAATCTGCTAGAGAGAAAAAAATATTTTAAAATTTAAAATAGTAGACGTTTAAAAACCAATTCCAACCAATAATCTCATGAGAATTATCTTCTCATGGTCCATTGGGAAGCTTTTTTTTAGAGTGATCTTGAGATGTGTTTGAATGTCAAAATCACTTTCCTTTCCTTTCCTTTTTATCATGTTTGGTAAATTAAAAATTTTATTTTAGAAAAACTTAAAAATTGATCTTTAAAAGTATACAATCAATTATACTTAAATCTATTTTTTCAAAATCACTAATTCTAATTTATACTCATGTCAAAATCAATACTATTTAAAAATGACATGTTTCACAATAATTCTAAAGTGATTTTGGAAGCAAAATCACTACAAAATACTTTAAGTGATTCACAATCAATCACTTAAAGTGTGTTTGAGAATCATTGTAGAATTATAGTATGTTGGGAGTGGTGGTAAAATTAATGATTTTAGAAAAATAGATTTTAATATAATTAATTTTTCAAAATCACTGATACCTTAAAAATCAATTTGAAATGATTTTAAGCTTTCTAAATCAATTTTCTAATTTGCCAAACACCACTAATGGGAAAAGAAGTGATTTTTGACAGTAGTAAAAGTGATTTTGAAAAATAGATTTTACAATTGATTTTTCAAAATCATTAAGTGGTACTTTAAAAATTAATTTAGAGTAATTTAAAATTTTCTTAAAATCATTTCTTTTTATTTGTCAAACACGATTGAGAGAAATGGACGTGATTTTGACAATGGTAAGAGTCAGAATCACTTTTGCCATTGCCAGAATCACTTCTATTTCCATTAATCATGTTTAGCATATTAAACAAATGATTTAGTGGTAATTTTTTAAAATCAATTATTCTTAAATCTATTTTTTTTCAAATCATTCCTTCTAACATCGATTCCAAACAAACCATTAGGAGGTGTTTCTCAAGTGATTCTTTGTAAAAAGAAAACGAATAGAAAATTAGCTTTTAAAATGATTATTATTTTAACTTTCAAATTTATCTTTCTATTTCACCTTATTTTACCTTAAATCTGGAGAAATTTCTTTGTTTTTTTCATTTCTAAAACTTTTCTAACTTTATTTATCTTTAATTTTGTTTATTTCCTCTAATTTTTTGCTCTAAAATTTATGTAATCCCTCTTTAAATTTTTAATTTTTAGTTCTAATCTCATTTCTAAGTTTATTTCCTATCTAAATTATTGTCTCCCATTCTATAAAATTCCTCTTTCTAAGAATTTGTTCCTCTCCCACTTTTATCAAATTCTCTCTTTAAATTTAAAATATTAGCCACTGAAAATCATCTTTTATTATATAAAAATCATTTGAAAAAAATGTGTAACCATCATTAAAATAATTATATAAAAATCACTTTTATAATATTAATTATTATTAAATTTATTAGGTTAAAAGCCCGTGAAAAAATGTAAAATCTAATATTTGCACCACTAGGCGAAATGTCAGTGATTTTTTTTTCTTTTTTAATAAAGATTTCACTAGTGAGATTAAGAATAGCAAAAATAATTTTAATCACGGCAAAATTAATCCTCAACATACCCGTATATGTTGGATCATAGCCTTAAAACAATTATAATTAAATTGAGAAGGAGAAAATAAAAGGAAAAAAACTGGCGAACCGGCGGTGGAAGAAATCACGTGTATGGGCTCCCCTCCACCGAAGTCTTTACCATTTCGGACCGATTCAACCAAACCAACCCAGGATTCTACGTTCAGTTCACATCGTGTTTTATTATTAGATCATTATTATCACTTTTTATTTAAGTCAGTTTATTATTATTGTTATTTTTCATGACATGATAAAGTTTATTATTAAATTATAAATTTAATCCCTCCCCATAAAAAAAAGCATATTTTTTTTCCCTTTTTATGCGAATCTAATAAGTTTTAAACTTTCAATTTTGTGTCTTAAAGTTCTTCAACTTTGAAATTACCTAAATTCTTGGAAGTATCAAATTATTGGCTTGTTTGACACTTTTTAAATTTTGTTGACCAAATTTTATTAGACACTAAATTAAAATACTGGAACTTTATTGGAGGTAAAATTTTATTCCTTTTCTATTCGATCCATGAATTTAAAAAAGTATATATTAAATATGTCAATGATTTATTAGACATTTTAAACTAGTAATAAATTTGAAATTTTAGAAAACATATTAAACACCTTAGAGTTTAAGACATAAGACATATTGACCACTATTAAATTTATAGGTTAAACTTGTAATATAACAAAACAAAATTATTAATTTATTTATGACAATTGTGATTATAATTTAACTCGTGAGGGTAGATTCAAACTCCTATTTCTATATTTGAATTGTAGTATATTATGAAAAGCAAGTATCTCAATAAGTCAAAATTACCTTAAATAACTAACCAAAATTTAATGTTGTCTACCAGACGGATAATTTTTCTAATTTTTCCATCTTTGGTACATAAATTTTATAAATACTATAAATAAAACGATATCCGATGATTTGAATTTTTTAGTAGAACAATATATAGAGGTAAGAATTTGAACATACAAAATGATATATATATTTTAAGGGGTTAAATTAGACACCGATTAACATGTCATTTAAGTTAAAATTTGGATCTTTGAGCTGAGTTAAATTAGACTAAAATTTTGCTTATAAGAAAATTATTCAGTCGGCGAGG